CACACACACACAAACATGGGAGCGTATAACTTTGTTATGGGCACTGCCAAGGGTGCCAAAGAAGTTCTCATATTTAGGCAAAAAGGTAACTAGTAAACTGCATGGCAATGACTAATGTTTTCAAAATGCGTCTTTTTCTAATTGAAAATGCACTGGGTGCGTTGTGATCTTCCAATGTGTACGCCATTACACGGACTTCGGGAGTATGTGACGACAGGCAAGAATGGAAATAGATGTCGAACGGTGCATCGTTGCCTCTTCTTGGCCAACACCATCAAACCGCCAAATTTGGGTTCAGCGGCTAGAATGCTACAGACTAGTTTAAGGGAGTGGGGTATTTTCCGGAGTATAAGCCCCCCCCCCCCCCCACCCTTTTACCACGAACCAAAGACCTCTATCCTATTCATCACCGTTAATTTGATCATCAGAGTATAAGCCACACCCTCCATTTTTGGGTGAATATTGAGTGTTCAAAGTGCGGCTTATACTCCCGGAAAATACGGTAAATCTGCTATTCTGATGCTTTCCCCTATAAACGCAACCTGCCTTGGTTGGTTTTTCATCGGTTGATGCTGGAATTGAATAAACAGCAGTGGGCAAACACAGTACTGTGGGACGCCACCATTATGTACACTATAATGTACACTATAATGTACACTATAATGTACACTATAATGTACACTATAATGTACACTATAATGTACACTATAATGTACACTATAATGTACACTATAATGTACACTATAATGTACACTATAATGTACACTATAATGTACACTATAATGTACACTATAATGTACACTATAATGTACACTATAATGTACACTATAATGTACACTATAATGTACACTATAATGTACACTATAATGTACACTATAATGTACACTATAATGTACATTATAATGTACACTATAATGTACACTATAATGTACATTATAATGTACACTATAATGTACACTATAATGTACATTATAATGTGCACTCAGACGTATAACTCTGCATACCGCAAAGTCGCGGATAAAAGCCGGGCTTATAATAGCCAGTGCAGGCTGTCGTAATAAAACGACTCATCCGTGTTCCATTCCCGTGCATGGTACATGCATGGTGCGACGGCACAATGACAGCTATCGCAAATCACACTGAGTATTACACGTGTTTTTTGGTGATTCTTGGTTAGCTGCTAGCTTTTCCCTACTCGAAGATGTTGCCGCCGCGAAATCTGGGGGTTTGTGTTCGTCCTGGCGAAAACCGTGTTTTGATCCGTTGAGGGAGACGAGAGATACAGTGCGAAGACGTACGATCTGTCCGAGAATCGGCGAAGAAGAAAGCTTCGCAGACGACCCGTAGTGGTTGGGAACAGAATGGAACATATACCAGTCGATGCCTGTCATGGTAGGGATGACTGCTACGAAGTTTTAGCCCCATGCTCCCCAGCGCTTTTTAGCGCCCGACGATAATTACCAAATTTCATCGATTTTCCATGTGGATCAAAGCATAGTCTCCTCAATCTTCTCCAGTCGAGCTGAGTCTGGACGCTACAATGTCGAGACGCGAAAAGAGAACATGCATGAACACACAGGAGCATCACATGCAGCTGCATTCTGCCAGTGCCTTGACGAAGCTGAGAACAACACCAGCACCACGCATTTGGAAGACATTTCGAAGAAGACGAAGAACTACATATCTGCGTTCAAAAAAGCCTCTGTACTGTGCAGTATGCATGCGTGCATGCGCGAAGCACGGGGTCCGCGGATCAACTTCGTTCAAAAATCATTGTGCCACACGGGTTGTATGATTTGTGTGCGATCATGGTCTTTCTTCTTGACAAACAAAAGTGAAGTTTTTCGATCTTCAAATCGCCATAGCGTCCTTGTCATGACTCCAAATCAGCTGAAACTTTGCAGGAGGAATGAAAATGCCATGCTGAATCGATTGGTACCATTTTCGAAGGGTTTCCTTGAAAAATAAAAATTAGCCTGCACTGGCTACTTATAAGCATATAAGCCGCTTTCTGCATCAGGCTTTAATGCAAACCAGGCTTGTATGCAAACCATGCTTATATGCACCACACTTGCATAGAAGCCAGGCTTCTACGCGCGACATGCGTAGATCTACTACTGACTACCGGTATGGTGGCAGTTTTAATATGCACCGTACATAGCGCATGCACTCTTGACCTACCCGATCCGCGCTTGCATAGAAGCCAGGCTTCTACGCGCGACAGGCTTATTATGCATTTGACCCGTTTGATTTTCAGGCTTCTATCCGCGATGTGCTTGTAAGCAAACCCGGCTTTTGTACATGCAAGACTGTACCAACAAATAGGAACGAAACTGCTGTGCTCGCTAATAATAAGAACGGGCTAGGCTAGAACCCTGACCTCCCCCCCCCCCCCCCCCCCCCCCCCCCCCAGTACTTCGGCGCTCGACAGGACTGTAAGGCCAGCTTGCAGCCACATGGTCGGGAATGGTGACAAAGAGAAGGCATTCGTCTGTACCAGTTACCTCGGAGACAAGAATGCGATAATGCTAAGAAGAAAGACACACTTCGGGCTGCTGAACAAAACATATACTTCAACTTTTTTTGAAGATTTCACTAGTATCCAACAACTTCCCTGAGCCCTTTCCCCACAAGCACACCCACTCTCGTTCTTTCATGCTAACTAAAAATCTAACTACAAATGGAACACAAGCTGGAAAGAATTCAACTTTCTCTTTCCTCAGAGACAAGAATGTGATAGTACTAAGAACAAGGACACACTTCGGGCTCCTGAAGAACATGTTGAACGTTTTCACTAGTATACATTTATAAAGATGTTGCTCAAGAGCCTGAAGAGTGCCCTTCTGTCACAATTATTCTCGCCAAAGACCTACCTGCAATGCCACGATTGGCTGGTAGTTGAACTGACGGTTGAGATCCATGATCTTCTGCAGCTGCCAGCCTGTCACGTTACTCACGCCAACGTAATGAACCTGGAACAAAACACAGACGCAGCGATGACAGAACAGCGAAGGGGACGAGGACGGTCAAGAGTACAAGAGTTAATAACCGTTAGGTGGATGCTTTACAAGTATTTATTTGGTGTGCAAATAAGACTCGGATAGTGTAGCATGGCTACTTTATGACACGTAATTTGTATACACATAAATAGTACACCGTAGGAATGCATGGATAGCAGTGCGCATACTCGCACTGCCTTGTCTTCTTCTTCTCCTTGTGAGACAATGAACGAATGATAACTACTTACGTAACAACAAGTATGTGCTTTGAGTGCTGAGAGTATACCAGCTACACAAGGATTAAATTTAAAAAGAAAGGACCAAAATGTTAAAATGTATTGTGCTAGCTGTTGCACCTTCTGACTACACAACATCTTACTTATAAATGCTAGTGTTGGACACAAACTACGGATAACACATATAACATCTTGGTCCTTTCTTTCTTTCTTTTTTTATTAGCAAACACAGCACTACTAACAATCATGGAAAGAGGACAGGATGAGTGATACCGGGCAGCAAGACAAAGGGCGGTGTAGGGGAGATGTGCCGTTCTGGCTGGTGGAGCTCGTCCGACCAGAGACCTCGCAATCATAGCCTACTACCAGGCACTGATGAGAATGCAACTTCGGGAGCTGCCGTGCTAAGCATGTTAGTCATATCACTTCGATTATTTTATGCGACGGTCGAGAGGCAAGCATTGGAATGAAGTGGAGCATCCACTCGGCTGATTGACGGACTCTTGAAAGCCTAAAATGCTCCGGCTTCTAATTGGAGTGCTGCCTCCCTGTACCCTGCCCACCCTCCTGGCCAGCGGTTGACCCGTTCAGATTTCTACTCACAGAAAAGTGCCAACCCTGGTATACATACGCACATGCGCGTGCAAACATACACACATACACACAGACGCACGGGTGTGCGCACGCATGCACACACACACACACATACACATACGCACACGCACGCACGGACACATACACACAACACATACCACACACACACACACACACACACACACACACACACACACACACACACACACACACACACACACACACACACACACACACACACTTGTAGCAACAGGTCTATCTTTTCCAGCGGTCCCTGAACAAGGCCCTACCTTGCCGGATGTGACAAGGTCATTGAGAACGCGCAGTGTCTCCTCGATTGGCGTGCCCTCATCCCAACAATGTGTCTAATACAAGATAGAACACACACACACACCCACACACACACACACACACACACACACACGCGAATCGCATGCCACCTGTTCTTCCAACAACCTGTTCTTCCAACAACAAAACTATCACAGAGACTACCAACTATCACAGAGAGTTGTTGCAAATTATGTTCACTTCACCATGTCTAAGTAGAAGCTGTGCAGAGTATGTGTTGAGAGAGAGCAATATGGTCGATTTCATGTGACCCACAGACATACGGCTTGGCTTTAGTAGCAGCCAACATGGCCGACATTCTGTGAAGCTATGCACACTGACCCCAGTCACCGGGTATCGATCATGTGATCAATCACACAACCTACAACCCATTGCACAGTCATGTGAATAATCACATGACCTACAACCCGGTGCACAGTCATGTGATCAATCACATGACCTATAACCCATTGCACAGTCGTGTGATTAATCACATGACCTACAGCCCGTTGCACAGTCATGTGATTAATCACATGACCTATAACCCATTGCACAGTCATGTAACTTGCCATCACAAGAACCTCTGCAAGAGGCACCCGCAATGTTTCAAATTGGGTGAAATGTCAGGGCTCGCAAAAGCTCCTCGGCCAGTATTGCCGAAAACACAGTACCTATAGTTAGTCCACTGGTTTGAGGGAAAGACACAAACGGGAAAAGTCTGAAGAAAAAATTGACTGTCACCACCAGGACTCTAACCAGGGACCCTCGCTTGTAGCCAGCGATGCTCTAACCACTGAGCTATGGTGTAGTCGTCATCCCAGCAGAGACTGTTCAACATCTTCCTAAGACTTCGTAACTCACACTTCCTGTGAATCCACACCGGCGGGTGGGGCGCAGCCGTCACTGTAACCCACACACTTCACGTACAAACTAGCACGCGGGGAGCCACAAGTCACAAGGTATTCACTGGTTTGAGGGAAAGACACAAACGGGAGCTAGTCCCTTACACCTATCTGTACCACTACAATGTGCACCAACAAGTACTTGTAACAACTTACGAAAAGCAAGTCGATGTAGGAGGTTTGCAGGCGTTTCAGACTCTGCTCCACGCCTGTGAGGATATGATGGCGGGACAGTCCTACGCTGTTTGGTTCGGTGATGTCTGTCGGGAAGCGTACCTTGGTGGCGATGAAGAAACGGTCGCGCTGTTGCTTGCTTAGCCATTTGCCAAGGATCTCCTCCGAGCGGCCTGGGGGGGGGGGGGGGGGGGGGGGGGGACACGTATGGAGAAAGAGGGGAGAGAGAGAGTTTTTGTTTTGCTCATGCTCTTGTCCATCTCATTGCACAGATGCACGTTCCCCAGGTTCAAAATCGAGAAAAAAAGTATCCTCTCTTGAATAGTACCCCGTCTGTAATGGGTTACGAAAAATAGAGCACTATCACTAACCCCGCGAGTACGGTGATCGATAATCAAAAGAAACTCCGGTGGAACAAAAAGTGATTATACGTCTCTACTCACGAGTTTCATGCTGAAAAGCACTCATCATGCAGGAGACTGGGGCTATACTCGGGGTTGAACACAACCCCGAGTATAGCCCCCAGTATCCTGATGATTGATTTTGTGATCGATAATCAAAATAGTCACAAGGATGGGTTAGCCCAGTGTCAACATTCTCAACACATGGAGTCATGGACTTTGTGTTGCTGACTTGTTCTCTATCTTCACCAAATCTTCAGTGTGATCAGTACAAGTGTGTGTTTCACATACTGTAATTTCACAAATTAACGGTGTACTTTTATTTTCGGTACTTAGGGTGCTTTTGTTTCATACCTAAAATTTCAATACACCGAACAAACACTAACACACATAATCCAATATGGAACTGATTCTCTGTACCTAAAATTTCTGTTCACCTAACCTGGCCTGTTGCCCTCATACCGAAAATATTGACCACCGAAAATTTCTGAAATTAGAGTAATTTGCTCTCTGAGATGCAGAGCCGCTCTATAGAACTTGGAGTATGAAAATTCCTAGATCTTACCCGCACTGTATGCATCTGCGGTGTCAAAGAAGTTTCCACCAAGCTCCACAAAGCGGTCGCAGATCTTGAAGCAATCCTCTTCGTCCATTTGGCCGGGCAACTTGATGAGAGCTTTCTATGCAGAAAATAGAATGGATGCACAGCATTAAATTGATGCTTCTGGTGATGGATGACTAGCTGGGAACAGCGAGTATGGTGGTAACATACTTCTGCAATGGTTTGCCATATTTTCTGGAGTATAGTCAACTTTGCGTATAACGACACTCGGCCGGGCATCAGAAAAGTGTCCTTATTCGCGAAGTGTCGCTATACCCGAAGTCTCATCATGTGTATACAGGTAGACTGGACTTTGCTCCGGGCATGAAAAGTCTGTCGTTATTCGCGAATTTTCGTTATATCCGCAGTCGTTATTAGCGAAGTTGACTGTATAAGCCGCACTTTGACCACTCGTAATCCACACCCAAAAACGTCAGTGCGACTCACACTACGATGGTCAAATAAAACAAAAACAAAAACAAAAACAAACAAAATCAATTGGTACACAGGGTAGATTTCGAAATTTCTGTGACACAAATTCCGGGTTCAGCTTTTCCTCCGGAAAATACGGCATGTAGTGGTCATGTGGTGGGAGCATAGGGGAAACCCCTTGAGTTGCAGGCAAACCTCTCTGGTTGCAGGCGTGCTGAAGGGAGAGGACACAAGTTGGCTCAAGTACACTCTGGATAATAGTTGTGCCTAGCTCAAGAATTCAAGCAAGTCGGCAGGAAGCACCAGCTCACAGACCACCCAAAACTGGGAACAGCCAGCTTCTCTGCAACGATCACCAGATTTTTCACCAACCACCACACCATAACTGCTCTCTCCAGCCGCGACCTCGACACGTTGCCACAGCACACCATCAGCAAAGCTACACATCCGTTGGTATTGAAATCTGTGCAGGGTTGAATTCTTCTGCATACCCTTTACGCAATACTATCACCAGAGAGTTGCATCAAGTCTGGAACAGGAATTTTGTGTGTGTGTGTGTGTGTGTGCGTGCGTGTGTGCGTGCGTGCGTGTGTGTAGAGGGGGGGGGGGGGGGGGGGAGCGCTTTGCACGGCGGTCCAGATTCCAGATTTCACCGGGCACAACAGTCATAATGGAAGCATAGTATGTATAAAACTTTACCATAATCCGTGGCCCTCAACTGAGCCCCCGTGGCCCGTGCTCCACACATGTTTTGCTTGCTGTGGCTTGCAGTCACAAACGCTGGTCAAATGCCCACACCCAGATGAATCCGTCACTCGTCACCGTCTCAAACCGGTACATGTACAGGCAACTTCGCTTATAACGACACTCGGCGTGGCATCGGAAAAGTGTCCTTATTCCCGAAGTGTCGTTATACCCGAAGTCTCATTATTACGACATAATAATGAGACTTCGGGTATAACTTCCAACTGTAATACATTGTATTACAGTTGGAAGGGACTTTGCTCTGGGCATGGAAATTCTGTCGTTATTCGCGAAGTGACGTTGTATCCGCAGTCGTTATAAGCGAAGTTACCTGTATAGAGGTTCTGTGAATGACCTCATAGTGGGGAGTCGCCAGAATCGCTCATGGGTGCTATGTATACAGGGAGAGACGTCAGGGAGTCGCTAGTGCATCCGGTGGCTGTGCCGCGACATCGCCAACGCATCTCAACGAATGACTTACGTGCAATGGCACAACCTCTATACAATGTAGGTATTCCAAGTGCCAGTATATGTACTACAGTCCATTTCAAAACTATAGACGCGTACCTAGGCAAAAACCGTTATGCCAGCATCTATACCACATAAAATCTGTGATCACTTTGTGCATAATGTTTTCCAAATTGGGCGTCTGTTATCCAATCGTTTTGAAACTATATGAGAGTAATTGTGGAGCGGTCCTAAGCAATATTCCGAAAACTATTCTCAAAAAGTTCCAGCCAAATTTGAAATATTTCAAAAACCCTACGCGTCTATAGTTTTGAAATGCACTGTAGGCAAAAACCGTTATGCCAGCATCTATACCACATAAAATCTGTGATCACTTTGTGCATAATTATTTCCAAATTGGGCGTCTGTTATCCAGTCGTTTAGAAACTATATGAGAGCAATTGTGGAGCGGACCTGAGCAATATTCCGAAAACTATTCTCAAAATGTTCCAGCCAAATTTGAAATATTTCAAAAACACTGCGCGTCTATAGTTTTGAAATGGACTGTAGTATGTCATGTACTAGTAGATAATAGAGAGGTTCCGGAGTACGATTTTTCGTGTCAAAATCCATAGAGGCGCTACGGATTTTTTATACGTTGTTTTCGAGCAGTGAAATGTTTCCGAGTACGGAACTTATGTGTTTGCCGCCATTGCCTAGGTTACGATCGCAAACGAAAACACGTCATATTCCCGCACTATGCCTTTTTATTTTGAAAATTTGTACTGAAATCAAAACTTTCCATGGAAAATCGATGTTTCTCGTACCAAATTTGTACGTTTAAAAATCTTTCTGCACTCGATGACGCAAAATCTCCATACGAAACATGTTTCGTACGAAAGTCAGTCCACACGGATTCTCCGTGCTGAGAAATCGTATGAAGCACGCCTTGAAAAAATCCGTAGCGCCCATACGGATTTTGGCAAGGCATATTGTACCCCGGAACCTCCCTATTATCGCATCATAGCAGTTGCGGAATATACAGCATTGGCCAGAGAAATCGAACCTCCTGAATAAAGTACGCATGCCACGCAGCCCTTGCACTAAACACACTAGTCTGTGAAATCTAGCGCCGAGCTACTTTATTCATGAGGTTGGATTTCTGGCCAGGGCTGTATCTATTATTATGGACGCAACGAGCGCGGCAATGGCCAAACGAGTTATGAAGCAACTGTCCACGACTGTAAACAAGATAATAAGCAGTCAGAAAGTGCGATAACACGACAGGCTACTGAGACATTCATAACTCGTTTCCATGTGATTTCTTCTATTTCAATTATAATTTACTGGCTAAGTATCTGAGTTAAAAAAAATTCTAGGATTAGGACATTGCACACATACCCAGTGACTGTACAGAGTGCGACTGCAGTGTGCAGCGCAGGCTAACTACTACTACAGAAGAATCCAGGTGTTCATTGACTTACGTCCGATTCACCGAACGTCATCGTTCCTAGGCAGAGGTTGGACACCTTCACGCCACTCTTCTTCCCAAGAAAGCGCATCCCGCATTTGACACTCGCCTCGGCTGCCATAGCTCACTCTGCGTTCTCTCGCAGTTTATCGTCCTACAAAAAGACGTTTGCAGAGCAACGCACCGAATACAGGCTGTCCGTTTCCCGCTGATCCAGCTACAAGTAGGTCCTCAAAGTGAGAACGCAACGATGTTTATAGCTGCAAAGTCATCAAAGAAAAGGGGAATGAGATCGATAGCGTGTAGACATGTACTGATGTAGCTGAAGCGTGAGTACGGTACCGAGCCTTTACCATGATTGTTTACCGTTTACAGCCGCCAAGGCGTCATAGACGTGTCCAGAACACAAGATCCGCTCTACACTAGTACAGGAAGCAGGTATCGGATCGTCGGATCAGGCAAGATCCGTTTGACTCCACGTGGTCCCAGCTAAGCCTAGCTCGCGTAGACTGAGGGCCCAGTACGGCTGTAGTAGGGGCGCACTCTTTGACTTTTCGAGGAGTTTCGTTTTTCTGAAGAGGTGGCCTTATTATTGGCCACTTCAGAGAAACGAAACTCCTCGAAACTCCACTGTGGCACAACCTCATCCGATGGGAGAGGTGGATTAGTTCCGGACCGAAGAGTTTGGAATAGCTACGTCGAGATGGTCGATCTGATCGGACGTCAATATCGCCATGACAAATCCACTGAAAAACTCTAAAAAAATTTAAAATGATAGACACCGTTCTATTGGGACACTTCAGTCTTCAACTACTGTAATCTCGAAAAGTTGATGAAGACATTTCGAACACCCCCTAGATGTTCGTGGTTGACGAGCAAACAGGCATAATACATGGTACAATTATTATGACCGTATTTACATGTACATGTACGTACCTGTCCCGCGCATTTACTTGCCTTGGTTGGATCATGGACAGCTCTTCAGACTTTCCTGCGGAGAAGGAAGGAGTGATTTCGAAAACTCCGAAAAGGCTTACCGGTATGCTACTGTGCACGAGATTTTATAGCGGGAGTCTGCTTATACCATCAAGAGTACATGATGGGGTTATGTGCTCTTGATACCATGACGATTGTATAGGATACGAGTGGTTGCAATGATGGCGGCTTGCTGGCCAGCACACAGTACAATCATGCAAAATTAATGTACTTTTCTTTGTTTTATAATAGCAATAAAAAGAACAAATTCTGCAGTCATCGCCACACTACAACGAAGTCATGAAAGTTTACCAGAATTAATTTTCTTGTCACATTCATGAGTGGAAAGTCGTGACTGAAGAGTAACCATGCTGAACAATGATTAAATATACATTCAATGATGTGTTACGAGAACAAAATACAGTGCCAAAATAGAAAGAGGGAAGGTGAGACAATAGCTTTTTTTTCTTTTTCTTTTTTACAAAATACACAACTCACCGGCAGGCACATGGGGCTAGCATGGAGTGAGATGGTGCTGGTGGGGCTTGCCATTCTCAACCGACCAGAGGTCTCGGCATCTTCACATGGCAGGCGCACGAAATTCGGGAGGGAAGCATAAGCATGAGGCGAAAAAGCACGGGAGAAAATGGAAGATTTAGAACGAAGGAGAGGATCTAATTTTGGAACACAGCAGAAAATAGCAAATATTAATTACTCAAACAGATAATAGGAGTGAAAGGAGAGGGTGGTGCCACAAACAAAATGAAAACAGTGTCAAAAGTCACTTGTTGGTGCCGTTGTCGTGATTGTTATTAAATAGTTATAGAAAAGACAGCATTGTGAACTTGATGAAGGCAATTTGCCTAAACGTAGTAATGTTGTGAATGATTTCAATTATTGCAGTGTTAATGGAAGAGAGCATGTGGGCTCTACTCTAAACTGTTTATGAAACTGCAGGAAGCCTCCCCACTTTTACTTAGAAAAGAAAAGGACCAAAGAACTACAAGTTACGCTATAATGTCCACTATCACCACCAGCAGGCTACTAGACAAACAGCTTCTGCGATTAGGCATAATATTATGCAGAAAATTTGGCAGAATTCGGTACTTCTTCTGGTAAGTTTCATGCATGTTTGGTATGTGGATAAAGAAATGGAGCAGAATTCGAGGAATTGCCCGCCATAAGGTTTGTATGGTTCTGCCAATTTCACTGCTTTTCGAGCAGAATCTGCCACCTTTTCGAGCAGAATCCGCCGGTGCCTACACGACACTGACCGACGGTACTGACGTTCTACAACCAACTGGCTATCAGCTCTAGCACATCTTGGATGCGCACTCCAACAGCCTTCCAACTTGGAAGGTTCTAAGGTTATGATAACATAGGAGGGGAAGGTGAGCGCAACCAAGACAAGCACAAGCTGAAAGTCTCAGCTGTCAAGGACGTTGGCTCCTTTGTCCTTTTCTTTTCTATAAATGTATGCTTGGCTCTCAATTCGAGTCCATTCTTGCACACCTGATGAGCTGTCTTTATCTATACGGCGAAACAATCATCGTGTGAAACTACTGCTTGTTACTGCTGCGTATTGTCCACCTAAAACAGAGAGGTTCCAGGCTGTCCAAGAGAGTGCTCAATACCGAGAGGCAGAGCTAGCTCAAACAATAAGAGGACAGAGAAAGTGTTTTAACTCTGAGTTTCACGCACTAAGCGATCATCAGACAACAGTAATGAGTAGCGGTCTTGGGTTGTCCATCCTCGAGTACGAACAGCCAGGGAGAGTGCTCAACGCTGGGAACAGGGGAGCGACCTGTAAAACAGAGAGGCTCCAGGCTGTCCAAGAGAGTGCTCAATACCGAGAGGCAGAGCTGGTTCAAACAATAAGAGGCATTGTCCATCTAAATTGTCATCGTCGAGGTACAGTGCTGTTTTACTGAGGCAATTCGGTTTTGCATAATTCTTGTTCGCATACCTTCCCCTTTAATTGATCTTCGCATCTTTGAGCCACACAAGTTGTGTGGAATGTTCCTTTAAGTTGGTTGCGCTCACCTTCCCCTCCTATGTTATCATAATAATTATAACTTAGAACCTTCCAAGTTGGAAGGCTGCTGAAGTGCTTGTGTTGCTTTACCACTGTGAGGTCTGTGAGGGATCTGGGAAGAGAGAATGTAGGTGTTGGCTCTGAGTTCGGCAGGAATAAGATCTCAGTGTTGGCGATATTAGGTCTAAACCTCCAGGTAGTCATCTACGACAATGGAATTCGTTGATACCGCACTGGGAGACTGTCGCGCAGCCTGTCTAGACTCTCATGGAACCGGAGCAGCGCAGTATCATCTGCAAAATTAATAAGGACACACCTTCAACATGACTGGGAAGATCATTAATATACGCTAGGAAAAGGAGAGACCTACGGATGGATCCCTGGGGCACTCCAGCAGACAGAACAGGTGAAGCATCTGAGAGAAGTCCAGCTACAAAGACAACTTGCGTTCCGCCGGATAGGTAGTCTGTAATCCACTCCAGCGCTGCGCCATGCACACCGAAAACTTAAGGTTCAGCAAGTAGTGCACGGTGCCACACGGTGTCACACGGTGTCGAACGCTTTTTCGAGGTGGAAAAAGCACATGGCAACTTTCCGCCCCGTATGACGATGGTCGGCTATGTCTTAAATCAGCTTGGTTAGCTGTAGAGTGGTCGAGTCGCCACGACGGAAGTCACGGAACCCAGATTGCGCGGGATCCAGAGCAGGAGAAATCATGGTTATTCATTGATCCCCCCCCCCCCCAAGAGAAAGACAGTGATAAAGGACCATAATTGAAAAGGTATAATAGAATTAGAACTGAAAAAAGGAAGGATAAGGTTAACAGAAGGGAGAGCCACAGAAAGAGAGGAAACCCAGAATAACAGAATGAGAACATGACTCTAATACCGATTCCAACGCCGGCACCGTCATGTACGGAGAGTCCCATAAGACGGCGACGGAAACCTCGCGGACCCATGTCCACGGCGCTGAAAATGGCAAACTGTGTGCGCGCGCGCACCCAAGTCATCATGGTGGAGAAGGGTTTCTCCCACTTTGCTGCTAAACGGCTGGCGAGCCGCTTCTGGTAAGCACTGTACTCGCGGTGGAGGACAGCATCGGTGGAACACACTAAAGGAGTAAAAGAGCTTCGCAGCTCTTCAGCGGCATGCTTGTATTTCCGCGTCTTTGCTGCAGCTGCTTTGTTGGCGGTGGCATTCCAGGACTGGTTGGCCTTGGAGTAACTGGGTGCGTCAGCATCTACAATGCGGTTATCAAAAAACGCCACCCGATTGCCTTCCCATACTCCGCGAGCGAGCCAGTCCGCTTGGAGCATGGGCCGGCCATTCCTGTCCTGTTCAGGGATGAGGATCGGCTCCATGGTAACGCCGCCGAAGGCAATGCCATCACTGGCATCACTGTCACGGAGGTCGTTGTGGCCTCTCTTGACAAGGTCGCCCTTATATATTATGGCAGTAAAGGCTGTGCTGGAGGGTGAAAGGGGCGCGACATTCGTCACAGTGAGACGGAAGGGAGTTGGGCTGCCTGCATGCCGTAGAGGATTGCCAGCTGATCACGAAACTGGGTCGCAGACATGTCGTAGCCTTCCTGACGGAGCGGTCGGACAGTCAGCCAGCCGGAAGCATATCCCTCGACGATGCGAGAGAGAGAGAGTGCGCCGGTCCGTTTTGGGGAGGTCTTGAAGAAGCTCTTTGCTGAGCGTCCCTGCTTGCTCTTCCCTGATCCGGCTTGCCTGACTCGTCACTAGCTGGCAATGGCGAAAATGATCTTTGAATGAACGCGGTGAATGTATGACATTCGTAGGAGAGGGACTGGGTAAACACACAATAAGCTGCTTGTGGGTATGCTTTAGCATCAGAGAGGTGTTCCATGCTCCTAACACACGATGCAACTTTGCTGCTGACAAACTGCTGTACACCCGCTTCATCGTCGCACTCTGTAAAATTAAGGTGGGGCGCTCTCGCGAGACTGGGCGCTCTGGCGGTACTTTACGGTATACGACACAATATTGTCTGTGTTTTTTCTTCAATAAAGTGACATCAGCCTCTTTTTACGGGCATGGGCAAAAGCAACACAATGATGAGAAACCAGGGTATGATAGGAAGATAATGCACACTGTGACAGGTGTGGAAAATATGTTTCCTGAGTGACGAGAGTTTTACACTGAAACACAACTGGTTAGATCCGGCTTTCAACCACCGCCAGCTCCCCGAGCTTGTTAGCTGGACGATGATATGCAGACCGAGACCCACGAATACACATGACAGCGAACCGGAGCAGCGCGAAAGACAGCCTGCAGCGCACATATGCAACATGGTGTGCATAGGGCATGCTAGAATCAGCCCTGGCAAGGAAGCCACAGAGGCGCTTCAAGAACAGGGGAGGCAACACCAGAAGTTGACAACACCAGAAGTTGACAACACCAGAAGTTGACAACACCAGAAGTTAACACCATAGGCATGGGCGGGTAATGCTAGTTATTTTCTGCGATAATGCTAAAGGCAATGCTCATAATATGAGGATATAATGCCACTTATAATGCTTACACTACTCCATAATGCCAGTTTGAAAGTTGGAAAAGTTGAGGCCGTCTTCGATCAAGGCCAAAGGGTAGAAGAATTAAACAGCAGTGAGGAAGCTTCCACTGACAATCCACTGAGAAGGTTGGTTTGCAACGTCAAGTCTCCGGACGAAGCCGGACGGGTTCAGATGCACGATTTTCGGAACTGGACCTAGCCAGCTTCATGCATGACACCGTTGTCGACCTGCAATTATGCTTGTAATGCCAATTTTGCATGCGAAATGGTGTTATAATGCCAGCATTATGCCACCGGGAAAAAAGGGACTATAATGCCAGCCATAATGCTAGCATTACCCGCCCATGCCTAGTTTCAGCGACACTTCAGTGTATACAGTACAGTGTAGATCTACCAAGAGCTACTACATGTAAGAAAGGTTTGCTCCCCACACCGGAGCTCGCGCTATTCCGCCGACTTTACTTGACACTTGACTGACTCACGACTGCCATCCAGAGCACACGAGAAGTCCATCGAACCTTCGACTCGGCAAACCTGCAAGAAAGCACCACTCCCTGCTCAATACACAGTGTTTCGGGGAATTCACCCATCATCAGTTGAGCTTGAGTAGGCTGAGGAAGATTGTGCCTGAAGAGCACCACTTATATAGTGCTCTCCAGGCACAAACATCACCAGGGAGTGGTGCTTTCTTGCAGGTTTGCCGAGTCGAAGGTTCGATGGACTTCTCGTGTGCTCTGGATGGCAGTCGTGAGTCAGTCAAGTGTCAAGTAAAGTCGGCGGAATAGCGCGAGCTCCGGTGTGGGGAGCAAACCATTTCTTACAAATCATCGCCGAAGTCGCAACCACTACTTAATACCCTTCCTTGCTACCCTTTTGCGATTTTTCTTCCTGCCATTTATTTCCTTTCCTGTTTTCCTTCCATATTCGCGTTCGTAGATCTACAACATACTAGTATACCGTAAAGTACCGCCAGAGCGCCCCACCATCTCGTCATTTCGTGGTCGTCTTGTGGAGGTGGTTCCTGTCTGTAGGTCATACGACACGGACCTTGTACACACATTGCAGTCAATCCGTATCCAGTTTACCTTCAAGCGGATGCGAGCTCCACATAAAAACATGCCAAGTGTGACCTTAGTACACGAAGGTTCTCACATCCTACAAACTTAGCAGCATTCTGCCATACGATTGTCTTCCCTTGGCTGTAAAATCAAGGTGGGGCGCTCTCGCGGGACCAGGAGACGGGGCGCTCGCGCTCTAGCAGTACTTTACGGTATATATACGTGTGTACGTCGTAACGTTTATTTGTAAAAAAAACAGAAGACAAAAAGTAGAGTACCCGTACCCTGACCCAGTCTTTATACGCGACATTCCTGTGAACTTTGACCTCCATGCTTTGGTACGAGAGCGTACAACCAAAAGCGGTAAATACAACCAAAAGCGGTCATGATTGGACTGGATCATGGACTCTCTTCAACTTCAAGTTTCTCTTCTCTTGTATAAAGCTAGCTTGGTACAACCTGGATTCGCGTATACGGTACAACCGTCTCTCGGATCTCGCACACGTGTAGCTTTCTCTGCTTTTCTGTAGTTGGACGACGTACAACCAGACAAATTGCAAAACGCGATCTTCAGAGAGCTACATACAAGTCGAGACGCGAGAGGTGGCTTCCATCCCGACATAATTGTCTTCTTCCACCTTTCACCAGTTTCCTTTTGCGTTAGGGTTTTTGGTTGCAGTCATGGCAAGCGCTGAAATTGGAATACCAGCGACATGCGGGATATGCTCAGACCAGTGCAAGGAGCCCCTGTTGCTGCCTTGTCTGCACTCGTCGTGCCAATCATGTTTGGATGCTCCTGAGAACCAGACCGCAAACGTTGTCCACTGCAAGGCTTGTGACAAGTCCTTCGTCACCGAGGTGTCCAATCTCCCGGCCAATTGTTTCTTGTCGCGCTCCCTTTCCGAAAGCCAGGAGCAGAAAGTTGAGGCCACTGTAATTTGCAACCAGCACCCGAACGTTGAGGCAGCCGATGCCATGTATTGCAAGCCATGCCGGGTAAGTTGAATTATCTGGCGTGTCTTCCCGAAACACACCATCATCAGTCTCTTCTGATCCATATTCTTTTCTTGTGGGTTTCCGCAGAGGAATGCGGGTACATGCACACGTGCATTCTCTCTTTCTTGTCGGGGCGACTACGTAGATATACGTACATGTACATGTACCGGTATTTGAATCTTTGAATCCTGTGACCTCTCAGCTCCGAGTTCAGAATAGGAGCACGATAAAAGTCTCAAACGCTCTCTCCCATCCTAGTGATCCCACACACACACACGTGTATGACGCTATCTACAAACTGGCACCGTACTCATGTTACTTGAACTATAAAAATGAAACGAAAAAAAGAAAGAAAAAAAGATCGTGCATGGAAGTGATGAGACAAGAAATTTGTAGTCTTGTAGATCTACTCTGCGCTTTTTCTTGAAGCCTGTAAAGTGTAAGCACAGACCGCGGCCCCGACTTGAAGAGATTGGATGCAAAACGCGACGTGAATTTCATACTTCAGATACTAACGTTCCTGTATGATTGTGCATGTTGTGGACATTGAAAATTTTAAATCCGAGGAAAATTTGTACGCAGCTGAAAGCGCTGGCCGGCCTTGTACATTGTACCTGTGATTATGAGTACGTATGCAGCACAATACAGTGTACTACAAATTCAAGTCAGGTTGTAGCAAATGTTCTCCCCCTTTTCATACGGTATGTGTACGGATCTATTCAGGGATGGTACCCATTTTGCCGTTCAGGTTCATGTTGTACCGTAAAGTCCGCTGCAAACGCCCACTTCGCAGCAAACGCCCACCCCAGCGGGTCAATACTATATTCGTCTTTTTCAGGTTGATAAAGTTGTACAAAACCGTCATGAAGGTTGAATGCGTATGAAAACAACTTCCGTAAGGCCATGGTAACAATTATCTTTGATTCTCAAGTACGCGCGCACCGATTTTTGGCGGCGCACCGACGATTTTTTAAACTTCTATGCATGCATATGCGCGCATGAAAACGGTCAATGCGAAAGGCATGAATCAGAGAGTAGTAAAATACCGCTATTTTTCTACTCCCTGGCCTGAATATTTCAACATAATAATTATGACCATGTGCATATGTGTGACCCTATCTTTGGAAATAAAAAAATGTGGGAAATAAAATATAGAATCGCTCGCTCGCACTGATTTTCACAGGCTCATGACCTGAGAATCAACTGTATTTTTTACCATGGCCTAAAGTACCGTTGATCCCCCCCCCCCCCCACGCCATGTCGCTTCCAAGCTAGGTTTTCGGCAGGCGGCGGGAATTAGATCAAGGCTGTCAAGCGCAGTACGATGTACAACAATGTGGAAGATCGGACTCGATGTGCTGGATTGTGCACATTTTCATCCTGCACTGGCAAGTATTGTGTACAGCAGTGCATGCGTCGGTTCAACATCGTATTTCATTGTAAACGCCGAAGTCGCTTCACAGGCAGAAAATCAACAGGGGGCGGCAATTAGAGAGGACGGATCAACGGTACTTTACGGTAATGCCTGCAAACTGCCTATGTCTTACTAGAAGGCTCTGCTAAAGCGATTGTAATAATCTTGCATCAAAGAAAAACGTCTGTCGAGATTTCCTTCCAATCGATAAATGAGTCGTCTTCGTATCAGTTCGTTCTCTATGCGGTAAAGCCGTCAAATCTATCTGGTTTTCAAAACATGAAATTTCTTCAGTGCCACGATAAACGCAACGTGATTCACTGAAATTATAGGATTGTTCTGACGAAGCGTCAGTCAACGACTTGACCTGTTGCAGTATTGCATTTGCAAGTAAAACAGGGAGGATGTCACAGAAGCTACATTTACAAAGTCGCTGCTAACTTGTTGATAACTCTGGAATGCGCGAGAAAAGCCCTTGCCTTTGCGCGATTTGGGAATGCTGGCTTGAAACACCGTCAGAAGTGTATTTGGTTCCTGCAATGCTTATCAGAACAAGAGTGTCATCGATTGGTGGATCCGGATTGAGTGCGAGCAGGCGGTGTAGTCCGAGCAACGCTGGCCCGATTGAACAAAACAAGGGGGTAGTACGCAAAATGTATGCATACCGTACAAAATCCTGTGAAAGCTCTCAATCCTATTCCACTCCAAGTACACCTACTCCGGATTCGGCCAATCGATCACGCTCACTCGGAGCACACTTGCTCGGGATTCGGCCAATCGATCATGCCCCAAGATACACTCATTGCTGTCTGATGATTGCCTGATCCGTGAAGCAAGCTTCACGGATCAGTAACAGCGAAATCCTCATCCTCTTCTTCTTGTTGCAAGCTAAACTAACTTGTGGGTAAGGTGTTCCCTACGCAAAACCTTCCACACGCGGGGCACGATGAACGCCACGGAGCACAATAAGGCTATAACGGCCACCGTACGAGATCTATTGGAGCAATGCACACAACGACCAGGTCCACACCCACCTATTTTCTATAGAACATTGCTCCCCATCATTCTGTTCCTTGTGAATGCAGTGGAGTACTTCACGTACTAGCAACCATAAGCTGCTTGATGATAGCATTCATTTCAAACTCAGGGTAGGAAAGCTCTCCCAGCGCACCGTTCCTTCATCTGTGCCCATACCAATCGCCATCAGCTCAATTGACACCCAAGTGTGTGTTTGCGTGTGTGCGTGTGTGTGTGTGTGTGTGCGCGCGTATGTATGTATGTGCATGCGCATCTATGCGGGTGGCTGCGTGTGTGCATGTGTATGTGTGCGGATGGTTGCGTGCACATGCGGGGCCGGTGTTTTGTGCATGCGGTCGATACACCTTCTTCGTTTGTATGTACAGAAAGTCATATGTCCGATGTTCAACTGCATCAAGAAAGAGCATGCTGATCACGAAGTCAAGCAGTTGCAAGAGTTGGTGGCTGAAACGGACGCGGTTCGCCAGAGCCTGCGCACGGCCGCCAGCCAAGTGTCCAACACGTTGAGCACGTCAGCCCGGCAAGCTAGCGATGCCGTTAACGCTCGCCTCGACGCCCAGCGAGCGCAGATCGAAGAAGCCCGCTGTAGTCTTCGCAAGGCGGTCGACGATCGTGTGCAGCAGATCAAGGACCAGCTGGAACAGGACCTGCAGCGCATCGTCGAGTACGAAGCCACCTGCGAGAAAAGCTGCAAGTCACGGCTCCAGGAGCTCAGCACTGAGACGGAACTTGCCGACCGCTGCATTGCTTTCGCCGAGGCTCTTGCCAAGAACGGCAATGAGGAGGATATATCGGCCTTGTCGAAGCCAGTCATCAAATCACTAGAGCTGCTCCGCGACAAGCCGATACAGAACAAGCCACCGGCACTCGGTCGCATTTCGCACGAAGAGTCGGAGGAGGACGAGACGCAAGCACAGCAGGCTCTGCGCAACCTGCTAGGCGAGCTCTCTATCGTTCACGTCAGCGGCCGCTTCTCTACGTCCAACATCCCCAAGGACAGCGAAGGAACCGTGCAAGCCCTGTCCGGTGCTACCGCGTCGATGCTCGTCACTTGCCGCACGTCCGACGGCAAGACGCACGTCAGCAGTGACAATCGCCTGTGCGCAACCTGGGAGCAAATCCCCGAGGAGATGGATGAGCAGCCTGTGGTGGAGGTGAACGACAACAATGATGGCACATACAAGCTCTCCTACACATTGCCGAAGGATGGCAAGTACAAGCTCCGCATCGCGATGAACGGAGATGAGCTTGGGGACAGTCCGTACAACTTTGTGGCGTCCTGTGGCAAGTGGGGCCTTGACCCTGAGCAGTGCAGCAAGGGCGTCAGCATCAAGGATGATGGCAAGAAGGTGGTGAAGAATGCGCTAGGCCACTCCAGCATACTGGGGCTCATCGGCTGGGAGCAGGGCGTGCAGACCTGGCGCATCAAGGTCTCGCAGAAGCAGAACTGCTACGCCGGCGTTGCTCTGCGCGTGCCCGAGGCCATGACGTGGAAAGGAAGCAAGTCGCCGCCGGTCGTATGGTGCTTCTCGTCGAACGGCTACAAATACTCCGATGTTGGCGTCGAAGGGAAAATACTTGGTGAGCAAGACGGCGATGTGGACATCACACTCGACTGCGATAATCACACTCTGAAGATGAAGAATCTAGACACGGGCGACGAGGACGAGATAACCGATTTGCCAGCCGGCACCAAGTTCTACCCGTGGTTTCATCTGTACTACATCAAGACGTCGTTCTCAATCATCACCGACGACGAATAAATAAATTGTGTGTATGAGGCTGCCTGCCTGGAGTCCAAGCCGTTCCAAAGTGACAGCAGACTGGTAGAGCCGAGGGGCGTAATGAGCCGCTCACAGCAACATCTTACATCAAGCTGAACTATTATTCATATCCGCATCCGGGCTGCCTCAGTTCTCGTCATCCTAAGCGCTTCAAGTCCGTCTTTCTTGATTGCTTGCCTGGAATGTCGAGACTAGTATGGCTTAGGCTATGAGTGTACACGACGGGTGATGACTACAGGTACATAAGAGAAACTAATCGATTTCTAAATTGATCAACACTTCAAATAATGGATATTCTGAGACTGAGCCGGCAACTAGATGCCGTCTTGTCATTCGTGTACAGGTAGGGATCGCTCTTAACTGTTAGACCTGCACGTATATTTAGGGCAACGAACATGCTTTACAATTTCAATGTTATGCTCCGTCGCTAAGCCAGCTGGGCTCCTCTTGCGCCGGGCACTGGCACTCTACTGTAAAAATATGACTTTTATCAGCTGTCACTATTCTCATCCGATCTACTTTTCTCAGATATTTTCTCCTGGTACAGTCTGTATCGGCTATAGCGTACCCTTTTGATTTCCGTGATTTTATCACTATAACCGATGCATCACTATATGCGATACGATCGATTTTTTTCGATCGACACATGAAAGGCAAGGAAATACTTCCAGCATGGCATTTTGACAAATGAGCATGCTGCATAGTTGACAGTGCCCGCATTTCCATAAAAAAATCTGTTATGTACATGTACATGTGTCAATATCAAAATAATCAACGTGAAGAAAGTAAAAAAATAGGGCCTTTGATATTATTGCAACATGTATTATCACTATAGCCGATAATAATGTAGTGTGTTATGCATGTTTTGATTCTTTGTTGCCATCATAATATCCGATATATCATTACATCCGATAATATTGGTTATAGTGATATTTGTACTGGATAAAATAGGTTTTGCTTTTGATATTTCGTACCAATATCACTGTAGCCGATATATTCTTATATCCGGTCACTCTATAGCCGATACAGACTGTATTTTGACTTTTCGAGGCGGCCTTCATATCGTGTCCTATCACTGTACCAGTTCTGTTCAGTCTATCTCTGCTCGCAGTCTTGTGTCGTGGTTTCTTCTGCAGAGCTGAGTTTGTATTTTGCTTGCTCCATTTGCAGAAGCGAATATGGTATCATTTGTGGCATGTCCAATCCACTGCCTCCATTGATGCATCCTTGTTAGATTTTTATCCTGCACTTCACCCTAGCATGGATCAATTTTTTTGCAGTGTATTTAGTTTATATGGGCAATCATCGTGAATTGCCGTCTGTGCGGAACTTCATTACAGTCAGACCTCGCTTATCCGGTCCTCTTTATCCGGATCCCTCGCCATCCGGAAGAAAATTGTTGGTTACCGATTTACAGCATTTGCCATGCATACACACAGTATGTGTGTTCGATTATCCGGTTCCCTCGCCTATCCGGATATTTTTTGTGGAAAACGGATGTGTGCGTTTATGCGAGGTCTGACTGTATATCGCTCCAAATACATGTACATGTACGTATGCCGACTCCCTCCAGTCAGTGCTTATATATATTATGGGTGTTGGGCCTACAAGTACATGACTGTATTACATGTATGTCAGAGGATCATGTGCTGCTTGCCCAGTTTGTCCCAGGAGTACTAAACTATAGTACTAAACTATGTTTAGTACTCCCCGGTTTGTCCTACTGTATAGTGGATCATAAGTACCGGTATTCAGCTGTCATGTAGCGGTACATGCATGTCATAGGGGTGAAACGAGTATCTATTTTGACCAATCGATCACTCGTTCATAATATTCGATCGAGTATCCGATTATTTCGAGTATTTTATCAAAATTCAAAAGGACTAGATTTGTGAGTTCTCCACAAATTCGGGAAGAAATTATCTGTGAACATAAAACAAAAGTCGCCAACGTCTTGTAATTGTACAGAGTTTTAAAGTAACGATTTTCATCAGTACTTTCATATTAGACACCCTTAGCAAAAAACGTTATGTTGTAACGGTATTATCGTAAGGGGGAAAATACCGTGATTTGGGTTCGACCTTTAGCAAGATGCACGCTATTTTTAGTACGCTGTTGCCACGAGAGTAGCTTTGATTTCGCGCGGTACAACCATTTTTGTCACCATATACGCGATACAAGGTGAAATGCGTACGGACTATGCAATATTTGGCCAAAACACGTACCGTTGGTCACAACGATAAATCAGCCCCCATAACGTTTATACGCTGCAGCTTCAACGCTATTTGGGTGATCAAGGTACGAGTACCGTAAAAAATAGCGTTACCGTTGTTTGCTAAGGGTGTCTATTACCGTAAAGTACCGCCAGAGCGCCCCACCATCTCATCCTTTCGTGGTCGTATTGTGGAGGTGGTCTGCTGTCTGTAGGTCATACGACATGAACCTTGTACACATATTGCACGTTTTGCAGTCAATCCGTACCTTCGAGCGGACACAAGCTAGCTTAAGCTCCACACAAAAACCTGCCAAGTGTGACCTTAGTACACTAAGATTCTTACATCGTACACACTTCATTGCACTCTGCCATACGATTTTCCTTTCTCTGGCTGTAAAATCAAGGTGGGGCGCTCTCGCGAGACGGGGCGCTCTGGCGGTACTTTACGGTATTATTATTATTAAATTTTTGATAGGGCAATCCCCACAGCTACAGGCCTAAGGCCTTTTGCCAGGGTACCCTAAAAAATGAAGAACAGAATTACGGAAGGTATGCAAGGAAGAACTTGAGCGGACCCATATCTCAGTTACTTGCCGTGGTGATTGCATCGTCCAAGTCATAATTATAATACTGACTCAAAGGCATACAAACACATGTATACCAGGTATTTTACGACTCCCTGATGTATACCATGTACCAGCTAGCGGTACAACAAAAGTTTTTGAAAAATATAATGCCAATACTAAAAACAAAAACAAAACGATCGAGTGCAAAATTTCGAATACTCGCTCGTTTGAAATTTTCGAACGAATACTCGAATATTCGAACTAATCGTTTGAATCGTTTCACCCCTAAATTATTGCATGATGATGATGATCAGATGACACAGGTCTACTGACCGTGCTGGGTTTTGTTTCATAATCAGTGACAAGAGACAAGCAAGAAATGGTGAGAATTGGAAAGAAAGAATCCAGAAGGGAAGAATTTTAACATTAAAATAATATTAAAACGCGGGACCAGCGTCGGCATCGCTTGAATGTTCAGAAACACACAAACTATAATGTAGCCTTCGCATCCACAGGCCACCATCAGAGTACATAACTCGCTGGAGTTGCACACTCTTGGGGATTATGTACTCTTGGTTTGCCACTATGCAGTATGCTTGTTCTGGGGCGGCATGGCCCAGAGGGGCACCTGAAGAAACTGAAAGGGAAGAAATAAAAAATTTGAAAAAACAAAGACTGCACTCTGCAGTCCAGACGGCATGAGCGTCGTACGACAATGCTGTGTACTGTTGTTCTGCGTACTGTCTGTACCCTCGTCATAATCACGTGACTCCGTGCGATCAGGTGATCATTCACAACGCCACTTGACCTTTTTTTTTGTACTGTGCAGTTCCTCATGCAATTTCGAACGACGATATCATAATTATCGGTCAGAAGGATGAATTGAAGCTGATTCAGTTTGAGGGGAATAACTTCGTTCTGAGAAGAGAGATATTTTTCTGCGCCATTGTCCAACTCCACGACAGACGCAAATCTCTGGAACAGGTCCACAAATTGGGAAGGAAGGGCGTTTTGTTATTAGCTTTTGATTGTCATTGAAAACTTGTGTTGCAATAATTGAATAATTTGGATAGAATCGGCGGCTCCTTTCACTATGGATCCAGTTGCTGCCATTGTTCGATTCAATGCCATGACGGCAGCCAGAGACAAAATGTGTCGGTAAGTAATGGAGTTAGACATGTTAATCGTTCTATCGCTTTCCACCAAAATCGACTGCTGGTGAAATTTCGAACAGGATTTGAGTACTAGTAACACAACACAACCATACTCCACTACTATTAGAGAGGTTTTGCAGAGCGAACGTTCGCAATGATTTTCGCGTTCCGGGTTGCGAAAACTATTGCGAACGTTCGCGCGAAATTTGTGTTTTGCATGTTTTTCGCTCCCAGGAATTTTCGCGTGCACTCGCTTGTTTGAGAAGTGGTCTTCGTCCGATTATTTTGTTGTTGCGAGTGACGGCACCCTGACTGAGTCATGGCCTGAGACGAGAGCTCTTGACTACCTTGTCCATGGCCGGAGACTCACAGACAAACGGGTTGGCTTGTGCCGTAATCTGGCGCATCAACACCTGAAATTCAAAAAGGCATCGTTGATGTAACCGGCTCTGAGCAGTGAGAAAACGAGCAGGCAGGAGATCGGGGCCATGATGGTTCCGGAGATGAAGCAACACGGGCTGCCACAAGTATAGGAAAGCTAGCACCCGCGGACCAAGCCAAGAGTAGAGATCAAGCACAAACATGAGGATTGAGGGTGGCTCACCGCGCACGAACAGTCCACAAAGAGCGAACATTACTGCGAACGTTTGCATGTTTCTCGCTCCAAGAAAATTTCGTGTGCACTCGCTTGTTTTTGAGAAGTGTTCTCCATCCGATTATTTGTTTGTTGCGAGTGGCGGCACGCGCACCAGGTACCCTGAGTCACGGCCTGAGACGAGAGCTCTTTGACCAGGTTGTCCATGGCCGGAGACCCACAGACAAACGGGCCGGGTTGGCTTGTGCCGTAATCTTGCGCATCACACCTGAGATTCAAAAAGACATCATTATTTGATGTAACCGATTCTGAGCAGTGAGAAGACGAGCAAGCAGGAGATCGGAGATGGTTCTGGAGATGAAACAACACGGGCTGCTAAAACTATCGGAAAGCTAGCACTCGCGGACCAAGCCAAGAGTAGAGATCCAGCACAAACATGAAGATTGAGGGTCGCTCACGATCACCGTGCACCAGGCTGACCAGCGGTCCACAAAGAGCGAAAATTACTGCGAAAGTTTGTTTCGCGTTTCCTGCAACTTTCGCGTTCAAAACTGCGAACGTTCGCACGAAGTTTCGCTTTTCGTGACGTCAAACGAAAATTCGCGCGAACGTTCGCTCTGCAAAACCTCTCTATTTTGAAACTATTTTTTTCGTATTGAGACTCTGAGAACACGGAAATCCACGTTATGTGCAACAAAAACACAAAATGAAATTATAGTTTCTAGTCCTGTACGGAACTATGTGCTGTACTTTACTAAACAGCTATACACCACCATTGCGTACGAGGTATACTCTGCTCTGCTGCTTATGGCTATGCATGACACCAAGAGTACATAAAAACCAGTGTGTGCAGCCTGGGGCTTTTTCCACTATGGGTGTCTGCAAGAGTACATAACCCCCCAGAGTGTGCAACTCCCACATACCCTGCTGTCCCGACAGAATTTCAAGTTGACGTCATTATTTATGACGCAATGCTCCTTGCACCAGTGATTTACAACAAGTGTACGGGTGTCAACGCATCACACGTTTTTCTTTGCAATAATTTGTACAGGATCGATCGGCTTCGCTCAACCACAGGTTCCGGATTCGTCTGATAATCCGTGTACAGTGCGCATTGCATCATCAAAATGACGTCAACTTGAAATTCTGTCGGGACAGCACCCATAGTGGAGTTGCACACTCTGGGGGGTTATGTACTCTTGGTGTCTGCAAGAGTGCATAAACAAGAGTATGCAACTGTGGTGATGGGTCAGTGCCCGGCGCGCTGCCTTCATCACGCTCTGAAAGCATGCATTCAAACTCACAATTTCTCGTACGAGCCCATCCGTTTTTGCTTGATTCGTTCCAGTACCTACGCGATCTCTAAATTCTGGCGCGTGAACTCCAGTTCCGTACGAAAGTTCATTTCAAAACCAGAGGGAAAGTGCGGTGTTTGATTTTCCGCATTGCGCGGACTGCAGCTGAATGATGTAATGAAGGTAGCGCGCCACGCATCTGGCCCATAGAAAAGAGATCACAGTCGCATACTCTTGTTTATGGACTCTTGGTGTCTGTCACTGCGGAATTCCGTGATTACATCATAATTTGGTGCAGATCTGAGGCGGGAAGTGGCGTAGTGCGTGCAACTGTGCAGAAAAAGACCTGCTCGAATCCTGCTTGTACGCACTACATCACTAAAATGATGTAATCACGGAACTCCGCCGTGAGACAGCAACCCATCCGAGCTGCACACTCTGGTTTTCATGTACTCTCGACGACACTGAAGCGTGACAAAGTCAGACGATTATCATAGTGCGGAGCCTTTTTTATTTTAGTCGTACTGTAGTGAGGGTTCTTTTACTCGTGTTCACAATCAACCTTGCGTTGACGTAGATGTACCATATTTTCTGGAGTATCAGCTGCACTGGAGTGCAGTATTTCCCCGACTATAAGTCACACTCGATTATAGGTCGCACCCCCATTTTCAGGTTTGAGCAATATTGTTGCGATATATTCACTTCAGTAGTAAGTCATGCTCGATTGTAAGTCGCACCCCTTTTTCACCCTGAAGTTTAGTGTAAAAAGGTGCAACTTATCATCGGGGAGATACGGTATGCCGCAGCCAGGGTTCTGTCACAAAAAAATACAGAGGTCTACCCTGTTGATCACGGCCAATACGACCATCGTAGTACAATCCGTGCTGAATTGTTTTTTGGGCGAATCACTGGAGTTGAAGGTGCGGCTAACACTCCCGCGGAAGATCCGGTACACGTACGGACATAAGTCATACTTGCAGCATGGTGTTATCATGTTTCACGGAACATCACTACACCATGTAGATGGTACTATAATGCGAGAAGCTTTCGTTGTGTGCAAATTTTGCGTTCCTAAGAATTGCACTTGTTCACGATGAAAACGTTTCGCGACTTTATCTCTTCAGATTGTCCAGAACAATCCGAAGAGCAGTTTGCGATGAATTGCATTCCAGATTAACTTCTCTCTCGCATGAGGTTGTTTTTTGTGTTTTCTCATCTGTGCATCTGTCTCTGCTCGTGGGTGGGTGCGCATACGTGTGCGCGCGCGCGCGCGCGCGTGTGTGTGTGTGCGTGAGTGTGTGTGCGCGCGCGTGTACACACACACTTCCTTGCTTGTGCATATGCCCATTGTGTATACGGCATCATTACTTTGTGTTGGCATGTTTTAAATCTGTGTCATGACGTGTATGTACTATGTGCTGTTGGTTTTCTTTGCAGTTTGGTGCAGTACATCTCCAGGTTTGTCTGGTATTACCTGCAGAGACATGGATACAGCGCCGACTTTGTTACTCGTTTTAAACAATTGGAAGGTGCTATCAGCACTGCCAGGAAATGTAAGCACATGGGTGGTTTAGATGTGTGTGTGTGTGTGTGTGTGTGTGTGTGTGTGTGTGTGTGTCAGCACAAGTTGCTATGTCTAACATAGCTGTTCGCTATCATCGCTTCCGCGATGGGCAGGTCTGAGGTCTGAGGTGTGTGTGTGTGTGTCTGTGTGTGACAACGCTATCGTACAGTCCCGTATGGAGCCTGTGGCAAAGCTCCTCATCTGCAGTACCTGTGCGCACAGTTCTCGACGGCCACAAGTCATTGTGAGGCGTAAATGTAGCGCTACTCGCGCAGCCTGCACACACTGAGTCTGACATTCCCCACCCGATGGACAACACACCTCCTGGTCTGTCCCTTACGGGCCAGATTTTGTTTACAAGATGCACAACTCCCCAGCGCGGCAGGCACATGGGGCTAGCATGGGGTGATATGGTGCTGGTGAGGCTGGCCATGCTCAACCGACCAGAAGTCTCGGCATCTTGTAATGGCAGGCGCACCACATTGGGCGGAAAGCATAAACATAGCCAGCCATGGCAGTGGAAGAAGGAAGGAGGTGTGTGTGTGTGTGTGTGCGTGTGTGTGTGTGTGTGCGTGCGTGTGTGTACGTGTGTGGGGGGGGGGGGGGGGGGCAGATATTTGCCACCACTATACTTATATGCATGTATGTACATGTATATAATATTGCCATGTATGCGTATGTGCATTGGTGTATTCGCGTCCACATGCAAAACTCCACTAACGGTATACCCATTGTGTTTGTGCGTGCGTGCATGTGTGTGTGTGTGTGTGCGCGTGCGTGCGTGGGTGTGTGTGTGTGTGTGTGTGTGTGTGTGTGCGTGTTTGTGTGTGCGTGTGTCCGTGCGTCTGTGCGTGTGTGTAGTGTTCCGGATAGGTAAGAGTGTTGATGTACTGCAGTCAGCTGCTGCTACACTACATCATCCTGATCTTCTCGTCCGATGCACACTGACCTTCTCCAAGGTAAGAAATTAACAATGTACGAATGTGGCATCTCATTCCCGGTAGAGGTTTTCTAATTTTTATAAAACATCAAAGCATGTCTACGCCGACCACTCATGCCCCCACCTAATTGATGTTGCCATGCACAGGCGATCTCCTTAGCCAGGGTCAGGTCAATGGAAGTGATACCCTGTGGTCCTGGATTTTGTCCCCCTCTAGAACAGGTGGGCACTTTCTTGGTGTTGTCACCTTAACAGGTTTCACTGTACATAGTAAAGAGGTTAAGATGCACGTTATTTCCGACGTGACGCGCACTTTCACGGCAAATTCGGCGTAAAACTCCCAATTTCGACGCGAGCTGCAAGTCGCCCGCGTTGTTTTTCGATGCCAGAGCCGAATAACGCGAGCTGAACTATCGCGTTACGTCAGAAATGACGTGCATCTTAAAGGGGAAGTTAAGGCAAAAATTAAAATGTCACCAGTTGTAGTCTTCGGGGTGCTGAGTCGAATGGTCTTGGTCCGAGAAAGCTGAGACGCTCCCTTCCTACTTGAATCCCAATCGAACTCGCGCACTTCCACCGAAACTGGGTGACTGCGCCCTACGAGATGGGGATTTGTATGCAAAATGTCACTAAAAGCGCCATTTCGTTCTTATAAAAGCACTGATGACCGCGATTGGCCCATATGTTGTAGTCTTTTGGACGCTGAGTCGACTGGTTTTGGTCCGAAAAGGCTGCGATGCAGCGTTCGCCCCTAATTCCCAATCGAACATGGTTGAACAAGCGGTCACGTGCTCCTGCGTACACCAGTCACCTGGTCACCGTGCCTGCAGGGTACAACTTACAGCCTGTTTTGACCTTTTTTGGGTGCAGTCCTGTCACTCGAGTTGAACCTTGGTGTGAAAGTTGTCGCCTGCTGGCGTGGTGACCAGGTGATTTTGGCACCCAGGAGCACGTGACCGCTTCTTCAACCATGTTCGATTGGGAATAAAGGAGGAACGCTGCATCGCAGCCTTTTCGGACCAAAACCAGTCGACTCAGCGTCCAAAAGACTACAACATATGGGCCAATCGCGGTCATCCGTGCTTTTATAAGAACCAAATGGCGCTTTTAGTGACATTTTGCATACAAATCCCCATCTCGTAGGGCGCAGTCACCCAGTTTCGGTGGAAGTGCGCGAGTTCGATTGGGATTCAAGTAGGAAGGGAGCGTCTCAGCTTTCTCGGACCAAGACCATTCGACTCAGCACCCCGAAGACTACAACTGGTGAAATTTTAATTTTTGCCTTAACTTCCCCTTTAACCTCTCTAGTAAAACCGGTCAGGGCTACCACCTGTCCCAGGAGACCACTGTAACGAGGATCAACTGATGCATGAGTATGTGTAGATTTGTGCACAGAAGGATTTTGCTCTTCATACTAGTGTATTCACTATCAAAATGATGGAGGGTTGTCTTGTGTTCGTATCTGTATGAAGCTCTATGTTACAGCAGAACCTTCCTCTGCCGCTGCCTATGTATAGATGTGTATGTTTTTTTAATGGATGTGTTCTGTGTGTACTGCGCACGCGTGTGTGTGTGTGTGTATGTGTGTGTGTGTGTGTGTGTGTGTATGTGTGTGTGTGTGTGTGTGTGTGTGTGTGTGTGTGTGTGTGTGTGTGTACATGTACGTGTGTGTATGTGCATGTGTATGTTATTCAGGTGAACACCGCACTGTTCTTGGTGTTTGATCACATCGTGTGGGGCTGCCGTATCGGCATCTTTCCCAAGACGGACAAGGCCTACTGGGGCCACCTGTCCAACCGCTTCTGGCTCGTGTCTCTGTCCGCGCTGCTGCTACGCGATTTCTACGAGCTGAAACGCCTCGTGCAGGAGCGCATGGCCCGTCAGCCCAACGCCTCCGGAGATGGACGGTTGAATCAGCGACAGCAGAATCGGGGCAGAGCCGGTTCCAGCATTCGTGCGGCGCCCGGTGCGATCGCAGCCACCTGCGTACGGCACCCGGAGGTGGTGCTGGACACGATCAAGAACATGGCCGACTTCTTGCTGCCGCTAGGCAACTTGGATCTGATCAGCTCGTCGCCGGGACTGCTTGGTCTCTGTGGTACGGTGTCGTCGGCTATTGGCACCCTCGTGCTGTGTGATGACCGGTACAAGATCAGGCCGTCGTAATCACCACCTTTCTGCATCCCCTGAAGTCAGTGGCGTTGCCTGAGTGGACTTCCTTGAAAGGCCCGAGGCGAGGCGTCGGTGCTGAACGGGTTCCTTGCGCCCGTGCATGACAGTATGTGTTGATCTGTGCACAGAAGGCATCCATACTTTTGCTACCCAAATATGGTTAGATTTCCTATAGCTTTGAAACAGCTATTACTTGACAAATAAGGCATGGCACTGTTGCCCTGTATGGGGAGTGGCATTTGCCTGCACTACACGGTACCTGCATTGCACCTCCACTGCATTGTCACTGGTGCTGCGCCAATGTATACTTGTGCTGGTCCACATTCAGTTCGCAGCATTCTCTCTACTTTGTCTAGATTTTTATGATGGCCTGGAGCTATCACCCCCCCCCCCCCCCCCACACACACACACTCCACCGCCACCACCACACGCTCACAAATTCTCTAGGGCGAAAGTCCTGATTTATCGCCGTAGACCGGCTCGAAAGTCAAGGCGGTGATGCGTTGATTTTCCTGTTGATGATTAAAATCAGTGAAAGCATTACCTTTTTAGTACAGTAGTTCGATATTATAGATAGCTTGCTGGCTCTCACTGTCACCAGATAATGCTCGCTGCTAGCTTTCCTTAGAGTAAAGAGAAAGGACCAATTTCCTCAGTGTGTTGGACATTATCCTACCACTATTCCAATGGTGGTCATGTGTTTGTTTGTTTTCTTCCACAGTTTGTTCATAAAAGCCGTCAAATTTTGGTTATGAGCGCGTTATCCATATTGTTCTTATTTTCTAGTCGTTATTTAATTTTGATGTGCGGTGTCTTGCCCGCAACATTCCCTCAGGCCGGTCGCAACGTGAGCGATGTGCACCTGCAGAGTATGAGCCAAGTGTGCTGTCTTTGGGCATGCGTAAATGTTGGCTTGAGTTGGAGACTGCCCGTGTGTGTGCGTGTGTGTGTGTGTCTGTCTGTCCGTCTGTGTGTCTGTGCCTCTGAGCGGGGAAACCGATCTCCCAGCAGAAAGGTGCCTGCCAGTGTACTAGTTGTCATCCGCTGCTCAGTCTACTGTTGCCATCACTACCACCACAGGGGTGTCGGAATGTATTTAGGGTTGTACATCTGAAGTTTGATTTACCCGTGGGGGGGGGGGGGGGAGGGGTTGCTGAACCAAACATGGTGGGGGGGGGGGCATCACCGCATCACCACCGGCAAGAGTCCACCACCACCACACGCGAGTGCTGGAATGCACTTTGTGGCCTGCCCGCGCAGCCATTGCTACCCGTTCCACCCCAGGCTGTAGCCATCACTGCTGTTCCAGGAGCTGCCGTCACGTCCCACAGCGGCAGAGCACAATGACTTCCCGCATGCCTGGCTCTGTTCGCCCCGAGTTCGTCTGCATGCCTGGCTCTGTTCGCCCCGAGTTCGTCTGACAGTAAACATAGTTACTGTAGCCGTGGTTAGTATTTTTTAAACGTTTTTAACCGTTAACGTTAAATCGTGCCGAGCACCCAAAATACTGTTGGTTTGGTATCGTTTCGACGTTAGAAGGACCTGTTTACCGGGAGAACGAAACAGTAAGATTCCAACTGGGGTGACGTCACAAGGCGATCGTTCTGTCAGAAACATTAAAGCTAATCGTGTCTTATGCACACACCAACCGACGGTACAGGCCGACCTTCGAAATTAAGGTGAACGGTAAAAATGCTTAGCCCTTGGCGGATTATGCTGGCATAATTTGTGGCACAATGTTCGGATTTTGTCAAAAATTATGCCCTGGCATAAACGGACTTCTGAGACCAGACGGTCGGCATAACCTTACGATGCAGGCTCTGAAGATTAGTGCTCCACGAATACTAGTATTTAGGCAAGTCACAAGAACCTGGTGAATGTTACCCCTTATTATTATTATAAGCCGTGCTGTCATGGTGCCAGAGTCGTTGTAACGTTGCAAAGCGCAACAAGAGTGCAAGGGTACAGTATAGCACCATCGTTGGCATATCAAGTTTCCAGCATAATGTAGCATAATCACTGGCATAATGGAAAGCATAATTCACCAAGGGCTGTTTGTACTGAGTTCACCATACCATTAGATTGGACCGCAGCATAGTATAGCACCATCATTGCCATAACTTTATAATGACTGTAGCATAATTCAGCAATTTCTCGAGCATAATCCGCCAAGGTCTAAACATGCTAACCATGTCTAGGAGGATTCCTTTAGTCTCCCTTCATTCTTCTCAAACTGACATTAGTCTAGTCTGGCCTGGGGGGAGGGTCTCCGTGCCCACCGGCATGTTAAGATACATGTATGGCGCTACATACCGGTACTTGCCAGACGACAATACACAATAATAACAGCTCGCCGACTGTTGTATTAAACTTGTAAGGTACCACGAGAGATATTTTTTGTGGGCTCTTACTAGTCTTAGTGACATAGTCTTAAGTACATGTACATGTGACATTACACCTGTAGTGTACCAAGAGTACAGTCATGGTTATGTGCTCTGGATTGTATCAAGAGCATTATAAGCTCCCAGGAGCTAATTTTACTCTTGGTGATACTACACCGCACGGACCGCACATCACATAATTATATTATTATTATTTTGCTTGTACGCGTTGGCATCAACCTGCATAAAGCAGGTATATATAGTTAAGCATCACATAGACATGTACTCTAAAAAAATTATGAAAAACTCTCATCCAGCAACAAACTATAACTACAACTTGGTGGCATGGGTAGGTATCTCGGAAGCCCAAACAGGCAAAAACGGAAGAGACGATCATGAATATGATTCAAGATGCGTCCCGTGTCTCAGAACTCAGGTTAGAGCACCAACAGCACAACCGAGCCAATGAGCGGACGAGAACAGAAACGCAAGGAACACATACATATACAAGAACGTGACAACATCCTTCTCCTCCTACCCCCCCCCCCCCCCAACTCGATGCACATTATTTAAAATTTTAATTTATTACTTCAAAAAACACAGAGGCAGTACAGTAGGGTTAGTTTCTGCGAAAGTGCTCAATACTGTAAAACATGTAATTTTAGCTGAATTAAAATTTCGCTGTCAGGGACCTGCCGGGTTTCAGGTGTAATTTAGAATTAGGTGACCAGCATTCCCTGCACATACAGTGCATACTCTGGTGCCTTCTAGGTGTGATCTAAATTTAGGTGCCTGGTTTCTCTATCGAAATCACCGAAATTAAAGTTACACCGAAAATATCGTGTTTTACAATAGCTGATTCAGGCAGAGCGGCGTACACAAGGGCACACCCCTGATGATTGGTTCAGCCATGAAACTCTGAGTCACAACGGAATTTGCCCAAGGTTTTCATTGTGTGCCTTTGTGAATTACTTCAAAAATTAGTTCCCCAGAAATTCCCCAAAGGCAGACGCCTAAATCAAGGGGATCTCCGAGAATAATAATGATAATTATCGTTGTCTCCATCGCTTACATTGTTAATAAAGTAGTCCACATGTCGCTTCAGCTCGTCCTACTTATTGCCATATTAAAATTATCGTTGTGATAATTATAAGTACAATAAGGTGCGATTTTAAAAGGAAGAAAAAGATTAAAAAGATCGGCGTAAAGAGGATACAAGTACATGTTCGGGACTAAAGGGTTAATAAGCATGTGCTACAAAGATGAGCAACGATCGTCAGTCACGTATTGGTCCTCGGAGAATTATAGCCACAACCTCTCATTCACATCTCTAGATTGGGACCAGAACCAAGCAGGTCCTAAACCGTCTCGCCTTCGACATTGACTACCAGCCATAGGCACAATGCGCGATGGAACGGACCATTATTATAGTCGTGTTAGTCTTAACGTGTGTATGTCGCATGGGACTTGCTTCGTTTCGTTACATTCCACGCCCTGGTAAAACTGCAAGCATCTGACATCTGTACTGATTCTCATAGAGTCATACCCCTTCAACATGACACATGTATGTGCCCGAACGAACTCCCCTGCCTGAGGCTGACAATATTTCTACTAACTTTGTTTTCTCACAGGCTTGGTGTGAGATGTGCCCATCGTTCGTCAGGAGTCCCCGTGGACGCTGTGCGTGCGCGCGCGCGCGTTTGTGCGTGTGCGCGCGCGCGCGTGTGGCCAAAATGCCCGAAGCGTTTTCTCGTTCTTACAGTGCATTTCGCATTCGGTTGCATTCAGCCATTCTCCTGCGAGATCTGGTATGACAATGAAGATTATGCTGGTGGAGTCTAGCTAAGAATCGTGTACATGTAGTCCGGATCACCGCGATGCCTAGTATTTTTTTCGGTGATAGTGTAATAATGCTGTACATGTGTGCTGCGCTTCTTTCTCTTTGTGTGTACTGTAAAATTGCCAGTGACCGCCCGCCCGTAACCTGCATACAGTGGGAGCCCTAGCAAATTTGAAACCATTGACTGTTCACATCAGTATGGATATCCACAGTATCGGGCTTGGTGTCACTAGTCCCAACCCACAGCGGACGTACTCCACTGCATGCACGGCTCTTGGAGGTTTGGCCAAGCGACCAGAGTCAGTTACACCTCGCAGGCTTTCATGCTGGAACATGTATGCATGTCGACGTCACGAAGCGAATGATAAGACGTTGAAGGTTCGCTTTCGACGCTCCAGGTTTGCAGCTCAGCAGCACCAAATGGAGTAAACTCCACGTGCAGCTGTCTGCTACAGAAGTCAAGACATTATAATGACCAACACTATGATTCCGATCTCCGGGACCGTGCCATTGCAATATCCAGTAGGTCGAGGCTCGACTCTGTTCCCGTTATTGCTTTGTAAGATATGGCAGTAGCATTGAACGACGCCAGTGCTAGAGGAATGCGTCAGCACCGTCACAGCACCCAACACCGTCGCTTTACTGCGGCCGTCGGCGAGACATTCCACAACGCCAGTGTCCAACCAGTCGAGTACTACCGCGAGCAATGTTCGCACAAATGCCGTCAAAGAGAGAGTCAAGACCCTGTCAAACCTTGCGCTTGACCCTCACCTTTAGTGCTATATGTCGCAGCCACGCTCCGAACCTCTCTGCAACTTTGGCCCGGCCTCCTCACGATCCACCTTAGGACGAGGACATGGTCGCGAAGTGCCAGAGGCGTGATGCTCCTCACGTGCCAAGCAGGGTAGTCGCCATGCTTCTACATGCGTGAGAATCCTTTCCTCACTTCGGACTGCGAGAATTTCATGCTGCCAAGACACTAGCACGGCCCCTGGAGTAACATACTGGAGAAAAGCCTGCATGATTTGGGAGAGACGAAGACTTCGCTGAAATCCTCTCAAAAGATAGTTCGTCTTTCAGACACTTCTGCGTGTGTGTTCTCGACTGAAGATCCTTTGAGTAGAACGAAGGAGGGCGTCCGAATACAACGCCAGGTTTGGTTCACGGCGGGTGGCCGCCACTAACCCGCCAGCCCACGGCAAGCACCGAACAGGAGCTGTCATTCTGCAGGTAAGGAAACATGTTGTCTAACATTCCACACTAGCGAGAATTTCCAGATTGCCTAGACTAGGCTAGAGTACTCAACACCACAAGGATGGAGCAATATCACAAAGTCAGAAGCGAACAGAAACCAATGGCTAGGTCATTATTTTAACGCTGCGTTTCATGCACACAGCAAGGCAATCCTCAGACAACATTGTATAACATTCAATGATTGCAAGCGCCATGTCTAGAGAGTGCAGTGTGGCGTGGGGTATGTCGTTTTACGGGCTATGGAAATGTCGTAGAGGATGTTGTTGCCAGGGAGATTACGGGTACACGTAGAAGTCTTAAAAACCCTTTTATATTGGTGGCCGATATACTCGTTCTGTGCACCAATCATGCCTTGGCGG